TAAAAAATGGCTCTAAACAAATTCTGAAGCAGCAGAACCCACAAAAAGACAGAGTGAAACAAATTTCCAGCCCAAGACAACCTGGATGATTGATCAGAAAGGTGTATCGCGCCGGGCTGGGAGCGCAGCGCGCAGCACAGCATGGGCGCACAGGCCGCAGCAAACCTGGAGCAGGCCTCAGAGGACTGAATCGCCGGCAGCTGTGGAGGTTTCCAGACTCCTCAATCCAAGAATGCCAAAGACAACTTAGAAGGTCAGTGGGAAAAGTCTGTTTCTGTTGGTGCTCAGAGAGGAAGGCGGGGTTTCAACTCCATTCCCCAAGAGCATGGCCCGGGAGGGGAGGGGGGCAGCTGCTTCCCGAGCTTCCGGCCCACAGACTGAGGGGGAATCCAGTGGCTGATCAGAGAGGGACTGCAGGGATCTCTTTGCCAGTGCTGACGCAGGAATCTCTTGCTTTGCCCGTGTGTGGATCTGGGTCACAGTTCTGGGCGGCAGTGCTGGGGTGAGGAGGAACGCTGGCATGGTGGAGCTTGTAGTGGCTGTGGAGAGGAACCCCTCCTCACAGTTATGGGACAGAAAGGAATACTTGTGGTCACAGGCCAGGAAAGGAGTAAACACCTCGCCCCTTATCATACCACCTTGGAAGAACTGAAAATTTACAGGTCCCTACAAGTATCTCTGAAAACAGCTACACAAACCCCTGAAGCTTGGGACAGTACACTCTCCACATTGGAAGCAGACTCTTACCTTAACAAAGAGTTTAAAACTCAAGTAATTGGCTGGGATCATGAGCAAGCAGCACAAAAAGAGTCAGACTATATTATCTTACTTTGGTGAAAAAGAAGATCAAAATATACAACCAGAAGAAGACAACAAAATCAAAGCTCCTACATCCAAAGCCTCCAAGAAAAATATGAATCAGTCCCAGGCCTTGGAAGAGCTCAAAAGGGATTTTGAGAAGCAAGTAAGGGAAGTAGAGGAAAAACTGGGAAGAGAAATGAGAGTGATGCAAGAAAATCATGAAAAACAAGTCAACAGCTTGCTAAAGGAGACCCAAAAAATACTGAAGAAAATAACACCTTAAAAAACAGCCTAACCCAAATGGCAAAAGAGGTCCAAAAAGCCAATGAGGAGAAAAATGCCCTAAAAAGAAAAATTGGCCAAATGGAAAAGGAAGTCCAAAAGATTACTGAAGAAAATACTTCCTTAAAAATTAGAATAGAGCAATTGGAAGACAGTGACTTTATGAGAAATCAAGACACTGTAAAACAAATCCAAAAGAATGAAAAATTAGAAAACAATGTGAAATATCTCATTGGAAAAACAACTGACCTGGAAAATAGATCCAGGAGAGAGAATTTAAAAATTATTGGACTATCTGAAAGCCATGATCAAAAAAAGAGCCTAGACATCATCTTTCAAGAAATTATTCAAGGAAAACTGCCCTGATATAGTAGAACCAGAGGGCAAAATAGAAATTGAAAGAATCCACAGATCTCCTCCTGAAAGAGATCCCCAAAGGAAAACTCCTAGGAATATTGTAGCCAAATTCCAGAGTTCCCAGGTCAAGGAGAAAATATTACAAGCTGCCAGAAGGAAACAATTCAAGTACTGTGGAAACACAATCAGGATAACACAAGATTTAGCAGCTTCTACATTAAAGGAACTCAGGGCATGGAATATAATATTCCAGAGGGCAAAGGAGATAGGATCACAACCAAGAATCACCTACCCAGCAAAACTGAGTATAATCCTTCAGGGGAAAAAATGGTCATTCAGTGAAATAGAGGACTTTCAAGCATTCCTGATGAAAAGACCAGAGCTAAACAGAAAATTTGACTTTCAAATACAGGACTCAAGTGGAACATGAAGAGGTAAACAGGAAAGAGAAATCATAAGAGACTTATTAAGATTGAACTGTTTACATTCCTGCATGGAAAGATGATATTTGTAACTCATGAGAACTTTGTCAGTATTAGGGTAGTTGAAGGAAAAAATTGTATGTATGTATATAGATAGATAGATAGAGGGCACAGGGTGAGTTGAAGATTAAGGGGTCATATCTGGAGAATAAAATTAAGGGATGAGAGAGGATGATACTCGGAGAAGAAAGGGAGAGGTAGAATGGGGTAAATTATCTCACAAAAAAAAACAAAAAGAAAAGTCTCTCACAGTGGAGGGGAAACAGGGGAAGGTGAGAGGGAATGAGGGAATCTTATTCTCATAGGATTTGGCTTAAGGAGAGAATAACATACACATTCAATTGGGTATGGAAATCTGTCTTACCCTACAGGAAAATAGGGGGAGAAGGGGACAAGAGAGCAGGGGGGGTGATAGAGAGGGCAGATTGGGAAAGAGAGTGATCAGAAGCAAATACTTCTGAAGAGGGACAGAGTCAAAAGAAAGAATAGAATAAATGGGAGGGCAGGATAGGATTAAGGGAAATAGAGTTAGTTTTTCACAACACTACTATGGAAGTGTTTTGCATAACTGCACATGTATACAACCTATATTGAGTTGCTTGCCTTTTCAATGAGGGTGCGTGGGGAGGGAGGAAGGGAGAAAATTTGGAACTCAAAGTTTTAAAAACACATGTTTTAAAAAAATGTTTTCACATGCACCTGGGAAATAAGAAATACAGGAAATGGGGTACAGAAGTCTATCCTGCTCTACAGGAAAATAGAAGGGGAAGGGGATAAGAGAAGGGAGGGAGAGAAGAGAAAAGGCAGACCAGGGGAAGGGGTATTCAGAATGCATGACATCTTGGGGTGGGGGCAGGGGTGAGAAATTTGGAACTCAAAAACTTATGGAAGTGAATATTAAAAACTAAAAATAAATAAATTTATACTAAAAAAAAAGAAATGATGAGCAGGCAGACTTCAGAAAAACCTGGAAAGACTTGTATGGTCTGATGCTAAGTGAGCAGAACCAAGACAACGTTGCACACAATAACAGCCACGTTGTGCGATGACTAATATTGATAAACTTAACCCTTCCCAGCAATACAAGGATCTAAGACATCTCCAAAGGCCTCATGATGGAAAATGCTATCCACATCCAAAGAAAGAACTATGGAGTTTGAACATAGATCAAAGCATACTATTTTCTATTTTTTTCTTTCTGTTTTGTTTCCTCTTTCTGGTGGTTCCTCCTAGTGGTTCTAATTCTTCCTTACAACATCACTAATGTGAAAATGTTTAATAGGAATGTATATGTATAGCCTATATCACATTGTGCGCCATCTTGGGGAGGGTGGTGGGAAGGGGGAGAAAAATTTTAAACTCAAAAGCATATGGAAGTGATTGTTGGTAAATCAAAATAAATTTTTAAAATTTAAAATTTAAAAAAAAACCATCCCCAATAAGCAGTCATCTGACTTGGATTAGACTTTCAGCAAGAAAAAAATATACATCTGCTGAGACAGTGCATTCCAGTTTGGGATAACTTCCAACCCTTGAGAAATTTTCCTTAAAGATAAAACATAACTTTCTGTAACTCTTACCTACCTATTGCTACAAGTATTGTCCTTTGAAGGCAGACAGAATGAATTGTATTCCCTTTCATGGTCCCCTTAAATTTTATCTTCTATAGACTAAAGTGCCCCATTTCCTTCTATATTATATTATAATGACTTCTCAAGCATTTCACCATCCTAGTCACTCTCCTTTGAATGTTCTTCAGTTTATCAATGCCCATTTTATAATGGACTCAGAATTTAACCATGTGCTCTCACCAGGAAAGAGTCCAGAAGGACCAGCATCTCTCATCTGACTGCTTCCTTTCAATGGAATCTAAGAGAGTCTTTTTTTTTTTGGCTAGGCAATGGAGTTAAGTGACTTGCCCAGGGTCACACAGGTAGTAAGTACTATGTGTCTGAGGCCACATTTGAACTCAGGTCCTCCTGAATCCAGGGTCAGTGCTCTATCCACTGCAACACCTAGCTGCCCCTTAAGATAGTCTTTATCATAGATAAAGTGACTGTAATAATAAAGCTGACTCAGAGCGAAAGCTGACATCAAGGGTTCAATCCATTAAACTCTTAGATCTTTTCCAGATGAACTGCTACCTAGTCATGCCTCTCCCCATCTTGTACTTAATGATGTTGCTTTTTTGAACCCAAGTGTAAGATTTTACATTTATTTTATTACATTTTATCTTACTAAAATTTGGACCACTGTTCCAGCCTGTTGAGATCATTTTGGATTGCCATCCTGTCAACCGACATCTTAACTAGTCTTCTCAAATTTACATTATTTATGAAATTGACAAGCATGCCATCTATGATTTTATCTGAATCACTGATTTAGAAAATTTTAAGTGACTCAAAATAAAATTTTTAAAAAGCAGGGGAAAAAAACTCTACATAAGAGTTCAGTTTTTTCTTCTTTGATAATTGTTAAATTCACAATAAAAAGAATTTTTTTAAAGACCAAAGATTTGCAAGATTATTTGCAATCCCAGTAATCTAGGGATATTTCATAGAGCCATGTGAAGCTTTAACATTTGTCCTCCAATTTCCAAAGCCTAGCATAAAGAAATATGTAATCAGATTCACTGTGCTCCTTCAATCATCACTGTGTTCCCATAGCACTAATGACAGCCCACTAGAGGGCAGTAGAGGCCTATCCTGTCCCCTGCAGTAAATACCTGAATTTAACTGGCTTATTCAACTTTGAGATCTCATGCCCCTAACATACACAAAACAAACTGCTTAGACAAAACAAAAATTTTTATTTAAAATGACATTCATACACAACATATACTACATCCTGTAATTCAGCAGGGAGCTGAGGCTTCCCTCACACACACCTTTCTGAAAAGGCAACCTATCAGTCACCATCAAAGAAAGGCTAATGCTTTGAGCCTCCAGCCCTAGATCTACTTTCTGTAGATCAGTGGGTCTTCAATCTTGTCACGGTGTTTTTTTTCTTGAGAGCTCTCACTGCCCTGAAGCCCCCTCCACAAAAAAGATCCAGCTGGTCTTGCAGAAGTGGTAAAACTGCCAAGTGCTCCAAAGCCCAGAAGATGCTAGAGGATCCTCTAGAAGCATCTGTCACAGAAGGAACTGAGAGGAGAGCCCAGAAAACCAGAGACGTTTCGCTCCCAATCGACCATTCAGAGTCCACAGCTCCAATCTCTTGAGCCTATTTGAGAAGCAACGTTCTGGCCTCAGGCCCCAGCTTCTCCCCATTCCTGGGGGAGTCCAAATGTCCTAAGACCCCAAGTGGGGGTTAAGTTCAGAACATATAAAGGAAGGTATTCACTCTTGGGAGCTTGGCCATGTCTGCTGGTAAAGAGTTAGTGATGGGGAACAGGCATCAATCTACCTGATTCTTAAGAAGAGATGGGGATTAGAAACCTTAAATATGGTCCAGGCAAGCCCATCAGTGATGGGAGAAGGGAAGGCAGGACAGGGTATTATTGCTCCACTTCATCCATAAACACACACAGAAGCCCTGGCTGGAGGCCATCGTTTAAAAAAAATCCTAGGAGGAGATGGACTAAGAAAATAAATAAGGTATCCTGTGAAATTTATAAATGTCAGGAAGTCAGAGTCCAGCAGAATCCAAAAAGGACAAACTCAGAAGACAGGAGAAGAGATAGGTTGGGGTCACACCAAAAATGATGACGTCTGTCGGAATTCTCCCTAGGAAAACAAAACTCCAAGTAAATTCCCTGTAATTCCCACTGACTAAAGTGCCACCACCACAAACTAGAAACACCATCCATTCTGGCAAGACAACCCTCCCCTCTTCTTTCCTAAAGGCGCACACCCTTCCTGTCCAAACCCAGCATACTCACGTCACTGCGGGCAGAAGGCTGGCTGTAGATTACTTTCTTACTGGTGCTCCTGAAAATAAATCAGCAAAGACAGATGGTCAGTCCTCTCACCCCTGATATGCAGTTTAAAAGCCAGATAATGCCCCACTTCCAACCTCACAGGGTACCAGGAATGGAATATTTCAAGACATATGGAAGCCCATGAACTCAGTAGTCCTCCCTCCCAGGCTGGGCTCTTCCCACCATCCCCATCCTCATCCCCAGCCCCATCACAGGTCTGGGTTGTAGCTCCCATCTCCTTGCTCTCAGCTTCGGAAACTCCTATTGGCTAAGGGCAACTCTAAGTGTCTGGTAAGAAAGGAGAGCCCAGCACTTCACTCACCCTTTACTTGTTCCTGAAAGAAAAGGAAAAACAGGGCCATAAACATCAGGCAATGCTCTGCTTGATGCTCTTCTAGGTCCACACGGTAGGATATCCCCCCCTCCCTAACCCTACCCTACCCCACCTCCACAGAGGACTAAATAATGTAACTGCTCCAGAACCCAGGCAAGGTCCATCATGTTGTGGGAAGTGGGGATGAGTGATAGGGAAAGAGGAGAAGGTGAAAAACAGGAATGGAGAATGGGGTAGACACTTACTGTTGAAATAGCCTCGAGAGTAGGCAAACCAGATGCCAAAAATCAGGAGCCCAAGGAGGATCAGCGTCACAATAACAGCTGCCACAATGCCCCCTACATTCAGTTCCACTGTAGAACAAAACTGGAGGCATCAGGAACCTGTTCCCCAAGGCCTTTTTCTAATTACCTAACCTAGCCACCAGCCCTGGCAACCCAAGCTGCCTTTGATGCCAAACAAACACAAAGCCGGGGAAAGATTGGGGGGGCAGGGAGAAGGATACTTGCCCATGAACCCCCCCAGCCCTGCTTTATAGAGACTTGGTATCCCATCCCTTCCCCACTCTTACTCACCAGCTTTCATTTGTACAACCTCTGAGGTCTTGGCACTCCCAACCCCATTGTATGCTTGGCAGGAATAGTCCCCTGTATCGAAAGCTGACAGGGTGTCAAACACCTGGTGGAGAGGACATAAGTCAGCCTCTTGCTCCAAGGAGAGTCCAGGCCTCTCCCAAAGTTCGAGGGATTCAGCTCAATTTCCTTTTCCTACTTTTGCACCCCCCCTAGCACCTATGACCCTCATACCAGCTCCCCTGTCTTGGAGTCGATGGTATAGGAAGAATTGATGAAGGCACGGCTGTTCTTGGGATCCAAAGGCATCAGAATACCATCCTTGAACCACTGGTACTCAGAAGGCGGAGAACCATCCTCCTCAGAGCAGGTCAGCACAACGCGACTCCCAATGGTGGCTGAAGATGGAATGCTGACTGTGGGCTTTGATGGGGACACTAGGAAAAGAAGGAGGGACACCGAGCTTACGTACAAGGTAGGGGTAAGGAGAGCTGGTCACTGACAAGCAACACCCCCCTAGAGGGCTCAGTAACAAAACCCCACAAATATCAAAGAACGAGAAATAGAAGGAAAGGGAGGAGTGATGAGAGCTTGCATTGGCATCATGTTTTATTCTTTTAAAATGTGTGTATAGGGGGCAGCTAGGTGGTGCAGAGGATAGAGCACCAGCCCTGGATTCAGGAGGACCTGAGTTCAAATCTGGCCTCAGACACATAACACTTACTAGCTGTGTGACCCTGGGCAAGTCACTTAACTCCACTGACTAGCCAAAAATCAAATAAAATGTGTATATACACACCTACATACATACACACAATAAAATCTTACTTGAATCCTGACAGTAGGCTACCCTTGACGGTAGGCATGTCAGGTTTAGCCATGATAGAAAGCTGGAATCCAGTTCTCCTGGATTCCAACCATTATACTCCATATGCCTTTGGCCTGATGCCCTCAATTTCTATATGATTTGAGGATTCCATCTCCCTTCCCGTCCCAAGCACCACAAGGTTCATTTCTGAGTCCTTCTTGCTTTGGCATTTCCAACAATCGCTTCCCTTCTAAGCCTTGGAATTTCCTTTAGAATTACAGGAAGAAGACAATGAATCTTGAAGGAGGAAGGTTAGGAGAGGTCATGATGTAGGTTTGTTTCTTTTTTGTGTGGTTCCATACCTAACACAAGGAGCTCCACGGTGATCTCTCCATATTCTGTTCCACCATTTTCAGTGACCATACACGTATACAATCCCGAGTCCTTTCGGGTCACAGAATGGAAAGAAATACCAGTCTGGGAGAACACGACCCGGCCTTGGTAGGAAGCTGTGGTTGCCAGGAGATAACAATGAAGTGAGAAAGATTAAGACTGAAAGTAGAAATGACACACCAAATTCGTAAGCACCCCTAAATCCAAAGGTCCCAGAAAGCCTTCTCTCACCACCCCCGTAACATCTAGCAGAAGAGCTAGAGGGGCTATCTTGACACTAAATCGGCTCCATGTTTTCCTCTGAGGTTATGGCACAATTGCTTCTACCACAGACTTGAGCACTTTGAGGACTAGGGAGGCTGTCAAGAGGACCCCAGTGTGGGGCAACTAGATAGCGCAGTGGTTAGAGCGCCGGCCCTGGAGTCAGGAGGAGCTGAGTTCAAATCCAACCTCAGACACATAACACTCACTAGCTGTGTGACTCTGGGCAAGTCATTTAACCTCAACTGCCTCACTAAAAAAAAAAATGATAATAAATAAATAAAATAAAAAATAAAAGAGGACCCTGGTGACTCACCAGTGATCTTGCTGTCATAGCAAACCAGGCTGGTTGTGCTTCCCTGAACAAACTTCCACTCCACTCGGGGTGAGGAGAAACCCGCGTAGGAACAGGACAGTGTGGCAGCTACAGGAAGATGACAAGTGAAACTAGGGCACAAAGTGAAAAGGGAACCCCTAATGCCCACATGAGGCCTGTTTCCTTCACCCCTACTCCTAAAGCCATTCCATCCCCTTCAATCCCCCCCATCCCACCACCTCCCACTTCATCCCACTCACGTTGATTCTCGTCTACTTTAACTTGCTGTTGAGAAGTATAGACTGTGACACCGCCCAATGCTGAACAATCTGGAGGGGAGAAAGATGAGCTAGGTCAGGTAAAAAAAAAAAGAAAAAAACATGACAAAAGAAGAGAAACACCTGGCTAAGAAGGCAAATAGGACAGATGAATGATAAATATTAAGAACCACTTACACTACTCAACCTAGCCTCTAACCTCCAATTATAGTTTTGTAATTCATATTTACATAAAACTTTGAGGTCTGCAAAGTGTTTTTCGCACAACAAACCTGTGAAACAGGTAATTTAGTTATTTACTATTGAGCAGCCAGGTAGCCCAAAAGGCTAGGCCTAGAGTCATGAAGACCTGAATTCAAATCTGGCCTCAGACACTTACTGAAGTTATGTGACCCTGGGCAAGTTACTTAAACTGTTGGTCTCAGTTTCCTCATCTGTAAAATGGAGATTGTAATAGCACCTACCCCCCAAGGCTGCTGTAAGGATCAAGGAGATCCTATCTATACAGCACTTAGCAGGGCGTTTGGCATGTTATAGGTGCTCTATAAATGGTTGTTGTCGTCATCATTTCCCAGAGGAAACACGGCCAGGGCAGTTAGCTGAGTGATGTGTCCATGGACACAAATGCCAGGATTTGAATTCAGGTGTCTCGATTCTAAATCCAACATTCTTGCCACTATAACCCTCTGGAGGAGTCTCTCTTGTGCTGAAATTTCCGGGGAAGAAGATTCCATCACTCTCCTCCTTCATCACTTCCTAAGTTTTGCAACCCATTTTCATTAAGAAGTTATCCTGGGGACAGCTAGGTGGTGCAGTGCATAGAGGACTGGACCTGGAGTCAGGGGGACCTGAGTTCAAATCCAGCCTCAAAACAGACACTTGACACTTACCAGTTGTGTGACCCTGGGCAAGTCACTTAACCCCAACTGCCCCCCCCAAAGTTATCCCTAATATCTGGCTTAAATATTTCCTACAATTTCAGTTCAATTAGTCTTCTCTCAGTGAAGATGGAAAAACAGCTTTTCACAAAACTTCTTTCATTTCTAATCTATCTCCCTGAGACAACAAAAATCCCAATTGGATGATTACCCAGGAACCATCTCTAACATGACATTTGATTGGCTCAATCACTTGCTTAACAAATAATAATTACTACTCAATACATGCTATTGAAGTAAACTGTGGTCAAATTCAAGATAGCTAGAAGAAGAGGAAGTAAAGCCTAGCTCTTCCATTAAACCTCCTCCACAAAGACCTAGAAAATATACCAAGATTGAATTCCACTTGGGAAAGGTAAGAAAAAGTTACAGTGAGTCATTTTTCCAGTCCAGAGTGACTTGGGGAGATAGAGAGGTCTGTGGACACTAGGGTCTGGGTCTGGGTAGGGGAGAGCCAGGTACACCAGCACCCAGGGAATGAAAGAGAGCTGAGACTAGGCACCACAGGTCAAGAAGCTCTTAAGGAAGAGATTCCAGGGGTCCCAATCTAGGGTGCAGGAAAGGATGCCAGCTGGCAACTTGGTCATCCATCACCCAATCCCCAAGAGAACAGAAGGGGAGCCCTGCCAATAGAGGTGGTGGAGCAGAGCAATCATATCACTTTTGGAGCTCCAAAAGTTTGCAGGCCCCAGCCTGAGCTGTGAAAATAGTAGGACACAAGAGGATAGAAATTCAGAGCATATGTTCCCCCCAAAAGTGCTCAGAGCTCAGCTTGAACATCAAGTCCTAAATCAGGAAATAGGCTGGAAGAATGAGCAAACAAAAAAGGAACCCCACCATAAAGTTATCATGGTAACAAGAGAAGCTCAAGACACAAACCCAGAATAAACAAACTATCTACAAGCAAGGCTTCAAAGAAAAATACAACTTGAACACAAATCTAACCAGAATTCCTGGGAGAATTAAAATAAGGATTTTTTTAAAGTGTTAAAATAGGATTTTAAAAACCAAAAGAGAAGAGTAAAGGAAAAAAACAGGAAAAGAAATGAGAGCTATGGAAGAAGGCTAAAAAAGAGAATAGCCTGGAACAAGAGTCACAAAATCTTACCCAAAAAAATAACTCTCAGAAAATCATAATAGACCAAATTGAAGCAAACGATTTCATGGAACAGTAATTACTACTGGAAGCAGGGAAAAGGTGGAAGGAAAGAATAATGTCTTGGCAACTGTACAGCATTTTATGTTTTTCAAAGTATTTTAATAGGCATCCCATTTGATCCTCAAAATAAACTTGAGAAACACAATGACCAATTATAATTCCAAAGGACTCATAATAAAACATGCTGTCCATCTCTAGACAGAGAGCTGATGGACTCAGAGTGCAAATTGATGTTTATTTTTCTTTTCCTTCTTTCTCTTTCTTCCTTTTTGACATAGCTAATGCAGAGATTTGTTTTGCTTAATTATACATATTTGCAATGATTTGGGGTTGGTTTTTTTTCAAATTTTCTAATAGGTAAGAAAAGAGGGTAAATTCAAAACTGAAAAGAAAACAAAATTGAATTTTAGGAAGCAGAGCCAAGACAGTAGAATGGTAGGAAGCAGTATACGGCGAAGCTCCCCTCCATAAAATTCCTCCAAATAGATGTAGAAAATGTATCAGACTAAATCCTGATAGGGAAATCCAGAAAAAGTCACAGCCATTTTCCCAGCCCAGCTCCAAATAGGGAAATAGAGAGAGGGGTCTGCTGACAATGGGGACAGGATCTGGCCAAGAGGACATGCCCAGGTAGGGGCTGTGCACCAGACCAAGAAGAGGTCTCAGACCCTCACCAGAGCATCATCAGATCCATACTGGAGCACCTCAACAGGGAGAGGTGCAAACTGGTAGCTTCTTTACCTACTACCCAGTTCTGGATCACACATCCAAGGCAGACTGAAAAGGGGGGTGGCATTTCCAGACAGGGAGCCCTCGGGTAGTGTACAAAGAAAGAAAGAAGTTCAGAAGCAACAGTGTGGCTCAGATTTCAGGAGCAGAGGCTCAGTTTCAGAATCTATCACAATCTGCAGGAGAATAATCAGGGCAAGAATCTCCAACCAAAGGGGATTCTACAATTCTGCCACTCTGAACCAACAGAGCTTTAGTTTCAGTTGTTCCTCTGACCCAAACCTAGGTCAGGTATTTACAGAGCTCGGACCAAAGGAAGAGCAATCAGACTTTACCTGGATCAGACTGCTAAGGGAGCACAGAGAGCTTTCAGGTGCCCAGCCTACCCCTGAGATTCTGGATAATTCAACACTCAAAACCCCTAAGAAAGCAGCAACAAGATGAGGCCAAACCTTCCCTCCAGAAGTGCAGCAGAATCCAGAACTAACATTAAGTATGAAGTTAGGAAATAGGCTGAAGAATGAACAAAAGAAAAAAGAATCCAACCATGAAGTTCTATTATGGTGACAGACACAAAACCAACAGAAGAAGGTGACTCCAAAACATCTGTAAGCAAAGCTTTAGAGAAAAATACAGCTTAGGCAAAAGTTCAACTAGAATTCCTGGAAGAAATGAAGCAAGTATTTAAAAAAAAGTTTAAAATGTTTGTTTGTTTTTTAAATAAATGAAATGAGAACACTAGAAGAAAAAATTGGGTAAGAAATGAAAGCTATGGAAGAAAGAACTGGAAAGGGAATCAACATCTTGGCACAAAAGGTACAAAACCTTGCCCAAGCAACATACTTCCTGAAAATTAGAATGGATCAAATAGAATCCAATGACTCCATGAAATAACAAGAAATATTAAAAGTCAAAAGACTGAACATAGAGAAGAAAATGTAAGTTATCTCCTAGCAAAAACAACTGGAAAATTGATCAAGGAGAAAAAAATTTCAGAATCAATAGACTATCTAAATACCATGACGAAAAAAGGAATTTAAACATCCTATTTCAAGATATCTTAAAAGAATCCAACCAAAAGAGTACGACTATCTCAATATATGCAGAAAAGGCTTTTGACAAATTAAACACCCATTCCTACTTAAAAACACTTAAAGCCAAGAGCAAGCATTAAGCTTCAAGCCTTTCCTATAAGATCAGGGGTAAAACAAAAATGCCCATTATCACCACTATTATTGAATATTGTTCTAGAAATGTTAGCTATAGCAATAAGACAAGAAAAAGAAATTAAAGGAATTAGAATAGACAATGAAGAAGCAACACTATCACTTTTTGCAGATGATATGATGGTATACCTAGAAAATTCTAGACAATCAACTAAAAAACTACTTGAAATAATTAACAACTTCAGCAAAGCTGAAAGATTTAATAGAATTCCACATAAATCATCAGCATTTCTCTATATTACCAACAAAATCCAGCAGCAAGAGAAAGAGAAATTCCATTTAAAAAAACTGCAGACAATATAAAATACTTGGGAGTTTACCTGCCAAGACAAACCCAGGAAGTATATGAACATAATTACAAAATGCTTTTCACACAACTGAGATCTAAACAACTGGAGAAATAGTAATTGCTCATAGGTAGGCAAAGCCAGTATAATAAAAATGACAATTCTACCAAAATATTCAGTGCTATACCAAATTACCAAAAAAGCATTTTTCTACAGCTTGAGAAAACCAACATAATTCATCTGGAAAAATAAAATAAATCACAGTAGTAAATGACCACAGTAATCTAATGCTTGACAAACCCAAAGATCCAAGATTTTAGGGCAAAAAGAATCACTATTTGACAAAAACTGATGGGAAAACTGCAAAGCAGTTTGGCAGAAACTACATATAAGCCAACATTTCCTACCATATGCCAAGATACAGTCAAAATGGGTATGTGATTTAGACATAAAGGGTGATATTATAAGCAAATTTGGGGAGCATGGGGGCAGTGGATAGAGCACAGACCCTGAATTCAAATCCAGCCTCAGACCAAACACTTGACACTTACTAGCTGTGTGATCCTGGGCAAGTCACTTAACCCCAAGTGCCTTTAAAAAAAAAGAAGCAGAAAAAATTTGGGGAGCAAGGAACATTTTATTCAGATTTATGGATAAGGGAAGAATTTATGACCAACAAAGAGACAGAAAGTATTATAGGATATAAAATGGA